AGCCCCGAAGGGGTGTTTTCTTAATAACACATTTGGTGTAGTGAGAGCAAGGATCCCCAAAGGACGGGAGGAGGAGGCCCTGACTAGACCGCTGGGGCTGGCCAGCCACCAGGGGGAGCATGGACTCACATTTCTACCAGAAGCAAGTTTCTGCCACCTGCTTCAGACACTCCTAAACATCCACACAGCGGGTCCTGCGCTGGCCCAGACGACAAGCCTACCCGGGGCAGGAAGACAGGCAGCGTGAGCAGCAAGAGGGAAATGTGGAGAGTCAGTGATGGACCAGCAGCACCCAAGGAAAAGCTGGCCGCCATGATGGCCAGAACCATTTCTAGGCATAAGTACTACAGTAGAAGGGTGCTGTAATACATACTTGGTAAGTGCCACAGCGTGCGACAAACCTTTCTGTTAAATATATCAAGCAGGATTCAGGTCTAAGGTTAGGTTTTGTTTTATTGTTTGTTTGTTTGTTTTTTCCTTGTATATTTCTGCCTAGTGGAACAGAAACACCCTCTACAGACACACCCAGAATTGTGTCTCCCAGGTGGCCCTATTTTATTTGTGTATTTGATTTTTTTTTAAATGTGTATTGGTGTTTTTGCCTTCATGTATGTCTGTGTGAGGGTGTCAGATCCTACAGACAGTTGTGAGCTGTCATGTGAGTTCTGGGAATTGAACCCAGGCCCTCTGTGCTCTTGAACCCAGAATTCAGTGCTTTTAACTGCTGAGCCATCTCTCCAGCCCCTCCCAAGTGACTCTAAATGCAGTTAAATTGACAATGAAGGTTAACTGTTACAGGGCTGGGCAGATGTCACTCATCAGGCTATATGTCCCAAGCTGGCCACCAACTCCTGCACTCATGGCCTCCTTCCTCACCCTCCAAAGTTGCTTGGATGATGGGTTTACGCCACCACAACACACTTTTCTTTAAGAGTTACAGATTTCTATTGATATTTTTGGAATGTTTTAATTACTTTGATTTTATGTTTGTAAGTATTTTTGTCTGCATGTGTCTGTACACAGTATGTATTCCTGGTGCCCACAAGGCTAGAAGAGGGCACTGGATCCCCTGAAACTGGAGTTACAGCTAATTGTAAGGCACTGTGTGGGTGCTAGAACTTGAACTCAGGTCCTCCGCAAGAGTAGTAAGAGTTCTTAACTGCTGAGCCATCTCTACAGCCCCCCCCCCCCCGAGTTAGTTTAATTCAACATGTGGGCTCTATTTTCTATAGCTTTCATCAGGACAGGAAGATTTGTTGTGGACACTGCATTGGCAGGATTAAAAGCGATTCTGGTAATAATTAACTGACCCATGCCAGTCAGTGGATAGTGCTCCTTTTTGGTTATGGCTCTGTGGATTTGGTGGAACATTCCTTTCCTCTTCACTCTTTGTGGGAAAGCACAAACCCTCAGTGACATTGGTGGCTACTGGCAGCCATCTTGTGACCACGAGAATATTCCTGAAGGTAAAGCCAGTGTGAAGAAAAGAGATGGAGGATTTGAGTCTTTGGTTACCTCCATGATATGGTGTCCAAGGATGTCCTGCCACTAGGCCTCCAAACATGTAAGATAAGGGTCTCTATGGGGAAGCCAGCTCTTGTGTGAGGTTATTTTGAGGATCATATCCCAGAGAAGAGGAAGTGAAAGCTTTCAGCAGGCCCATGGGGTCATCCATGGGAAACTGACCACTCCTTTAAGCCCCTCCCCTTGCTTCTCCACACTTTGATTCACCTGTAACTATTTCCAGAGTACTTCTGTGTGTTGACCTCCTGGCTGAATACTGGATACAAAGACTACATGGCCAGAGCCACCTCTTCTTCACACCTGAGACTCCCAGTTGCTGCAGACTGCCAGGGATGGGGGGGGGGAATCAAGACAGCTCTATATGAAACCAACTCCTAGACATGCCATGGAAAAATTTAAATACAGAGCAGGGTGAAGTACATACTAACTTTGCTCACAAATAGTTATATGAGAAAATAGATGTACCTGTGCCCACATAGAACATTTCTGGATTAATGCAAGAGAAGTGGATATTAAAGTGTTCTTGCCCAGCATGTGTAAAAGCCCTGGGTTTGATTCACAGCATGATACTAGGAGGGTCTCTGTGAACACCACAGCCATCAGAGTGATGGTTCAGGAGAGGCAAGAAAGCAGTTCTGTTCAGCACAATTCAGTACCTGGTGCTGTTTCAGACTTCAAGAGTGTGACCCTGAGTAGTTCGTTTCAGGATATTTAAGCTCAGCACAATTTGGTGAGAAGCTTTCTGGTGGTAATTAACTCAATTCCATGTACACAATACCAGCAAAATGGAGGTGGAGCTGGGTAGATCGGAAGTTCCTGGTGATCTTCAGCTAGCCAGCTTGGGCTAGAAGGAGGGAAAGAGAGAGGGAGTAGAAAGAAAAGGACCTTCAAGGCTGCCTCTGAAGAGGGAAACAAGGGACAGGGAGGTTCAGGTAGGAAACTTGCTTGTCTGTTTTTTGCTTTTGCAATTTGAATAGTTTTTAATGTGCTTAAAAAAAAAGTAGATGGGGCATGGTGGTGCACACTTGTAATCCTAACACTTGAGGAGACAGAGGCAGGCAGATCTCTGTGAGTTCGAGGCCAGCCTGGTCTACAAAGGGAGCACAGGACTGCCAAGACAACACAGAGAAACCCTGTCTTGGAAAACCCAAAAACCAATTAAAAAAAAATGATAACAAGTTGCTGAATCTTGGAAAAGCATTCAAGACATCTTGTTATCTTGATGTGATAAATTCAGGTTTCAAAATCAGAGGAACAATGTGACCCCTATTTTTGTCGAGAAAAATGTGAGATACATCTCCACAGACAGAGGAATGTTGCATTCGTTGGTATTTCCACTGCAGTTTATTTGACATTTTTCTGATAAAGCACAAACAGCAGAAAAGGGCACAAACACCAAAGTCCATGTCCCCCTTCTGCCTTCCCTGAAGCCAGCTCAACTTATCACATGGAAAATGTCAACAGACATGATGTCTGAGATGGGGTACAGCAGAGGGACAGTCTTCTTTTTTTTTGTGTGTGTGTGTGTGATTTCCTGGGACTTCTGATGCTCATCGATGCATTTATATTACTGTGGGAAGAAGAAAACACATCTTGTTTCTTTGTACACACGCATGTGTTCTTGGGTGAACTCGTGGACACGTTCAGGCGCACACTGAACACATGTGGGCAGTCAAGTGTCTTCCTTAGTTACTCTCCACCTTATTCTTCAAGACGTCTTTGTCTTTATCTTATGTGTGTCTGTGGCTTGCCTACATGCATCATGTGCACCACATGTAGACTTTGTGTCCTTGGAGGTCAGAAGAGGCCACTGAATACCCTGGAACTGGAGTCATGGATGGCTGCGGGCCACTGTTTGGGTGCTGGAAACCAAACCCAATCCTCTGGGAGAGTAGCGAGTGTTCTTAACTGGTGCGTCACCTCTCCAAATACTCTGCTTTGTGTTTTTTTGAGGCAGGGTCTCTCACTTGCATGGATTCAGTTAGGTTTTCAGGTTGGTGAGCTCCGGGATGTACCTGTCTCTGTGTGCCCAACACTGGAATTACAGCTGTCCACAAGTTCACCTGGCTTTTTATATGGATGCTGCCGATCCTGAATCAGGACCTCTTGCCTAAATGGAAAGTACTTTATTGACTGAGCCATCTCTCCAGCCCTTTGTTTTTGTTTTTGTTTTTTTAAGTATTTACTTATTTGTTGTTAATGTGCATGGATGTTTGGCTTGTGTGAGTATCTGTACACAGCGTACTTGCAGTGTCTGTGGAGGCCAGAAGGCGGCATCAGAACTGGAGTTACAGAGCGTTCTGAGTGCCATATAGGAATTGAACCCAGGTCCTCTGTAAGAGCAGCCAGTGCTCTTACCTACTGAGCCATCTCTCCAGCCCCAGCCTCTGGTTTTGTTTTGTCAAGATTTATTTATTTTTATCTTATGTCTATTAGAGTGTCACCTGCATGTATGTAAATAACTAAGAGCATGTCTGGGGTTCATAAAAACCAGAAGAGGGCACTGGGTTCCTTGGAACTGGCATTATGGACACTGTAAGCTGCCATGTGGGTTTGGGTACCAAGCCCAGGAAGAGGAAGAGCAGTCTGGACTGCTCTCTGCACTGGGAGAGCAGCAGGTTAGTGGCTGAACCATCTCACCAGTCTCCTTCTTCCAACTCCACTCCACCCCCATGAAACAGGGTCTCACTCTGTAGCTGAGGCTGGCCCGGATGCTGCTACCTTCTGTCTCATGCTGAGATACAAGGTAGGTATCACCATGCCTGGCTCAAACACATTACAGAACACAAAACCGAGACAGGCTTTAAGCTTCTACCCTTTCTCAATTCAGCACAGAAGAAATAAGCTTCATGCACCCCATTATCACCCTCTGCACCCCTCACCTCACTTAGATTGGGAAGCAGATCGGGTGATAAGGCCACTTTTCCAAATTATGGAAAAGGTCTCCTGTGCCACTCTGAACAAATCCCCTTCCTCTCCACCTGCTCTGACATCATGGCCTCCACCCTCCCTAAGGCCTCTGCCCATCTGCCTCTTTTCAGAGACAGGATGAGTGTCACAGAGAAACCTGTTCCCCTGCTGGGGCTCAGAGGGACCCAGCTCAGGACTCCTCTTCTGCCTCCCTCCTCAGCCAGAACTGTCTGGAAATGGATCTGAACAAGGAGGAGAGAAGGGAAGCAAGCTAGCTCCCTTTCCCATACATCTTAGGTTAAAAAAACGACTGGCCTAGTTAAAACCGCACCTTAATGAGGCTTCTTTCTGGCCTAATTGTCACCATGGCAATGACCCCTAGTGGCCATCTTTAATTAACTTGGAATCAGAGTTGCCAAATGAGCTCCTCCAGTAAATTGCTCAGCAGCCCAGGCAGTCACGCGGCCCCTCCTCTGTCCCCTGCCCTCTCTGCTCCTGCACACCGAGGATGATGAGGCAAGAAATTCTCAGTCCGGCTTTTCTCACCACCCTCTAGACTCGCCCGCCGTGGTCAGGGGAGGAGCTCAGATCTGGAGCAGTAAGAAGAGTGTTGCTAACAGCAGCACCATGTTGAATCCTTCCTATTCCTTATCTCCTTCAGTCTTCACGGGGAGGCTGGCTGGGGGGGACCATTGTTATGATCCACCACCTCTTCCTGACAAGGAAACACAGGCACAGGGAGGCTTAAGTCAGTAACTAGCGGAGTTGAGATTACAGGTGGTCTCTCCCCAGGGTCAGCATCATTCTGCCTCTGCCGGAGATGAAGACCATGGGCTCACCTGTTTCTTTGGAGCTGGAGTTGTGGTTTTTCAGCTGCTCAACTTGGGCCAATCCCTTCACATCTGGGACGTGCTTCCTTGGTTGAAACAGAGAGGGCAAAGCATGCCAGAGGGTTTGCAGAGACCTCAACAGCAGCAGCACTTCTGTTCAGCACTGGTCAATGCCACCAGGGCCTCCTTGTCATCTCCCCATGATGTGGCTCCATCCTGACAGGTGAGAGGAGGCGGGCACTAGATTACTGACAGGAAGAAGGGGCCTCCTGACTGTGGCAGGAACTTTGCTTTATTGCGAATGATATGAAGACTGTAGGTGGGCTTTGGTACATCAGTGACACCCCCTGAAAGGATCACTCTAGCTGCTCACGGTGACCCACACCCGTAAACCAAGCCCAGGCAGGGGGATTGCAGATTGATCCTAGGCTATCTCAGATTACATGGGAAGTTCTAGGCCAGCCTGGACTACAAACTGAGACTTTGTCTTAAAACGTAAAGGAGAAAAGAGAAGGAAGGGAAGAAGAGGATTTGAGGGGAGAAGGAGCCATCCTAGCACTGTTGGCATAGCTCAGCAGTACAGCATTTGCCTATACTGTGAAGAAGAAGCTAGCACGAGCACACGCTGGGTGAGGTATGTCACTCATGGGATCATAGCTAGTGGAAGGTAGAGGCAATATGATCAAAAGCCCAAGGCTGGCCTCAGCCTGTGTTAAATGAGACATGTTTGAAAAAAAAAAAAGGAGAGGGTCCGGGGAGATGGCTTCCTGACTGGCTGAACTTCCGGAGACACTAGGGTTTGACTCCCAGCAGTCACGTGGTGGCTCCCAATCATCTGCAGTTCTATTCCAGAGGAGAAGTACCCTCCCCACCCCCACTTTAATAATAATAATAATAATAATAATAATAATAATAATAATTCAACAGCCAGATGTGATGGCGCATACCGTTTATCCCAGCACTCGGGAGGCAGAGGCATTTGGATTCCTGAATTCATGGCCAGCCTGGTGCACAGAGTTCCAGGATAGCCAGAGCTATGCAGAGAAACCCTGACTCTAAAAAACAAAATAAGAATAATACTAATAAATTTAAAAAATTAGGGCCAGCAAGGACAGTGAGGGGGAGGGAAGGCCACTCTGGTCGCTGAGTGGAGAAAGGGCAGGGAGATCAACGGGAAGCAATGAGATGCTTTAGGTGGCTACCGGGGGTTTGTTGCCAGACAACAGTGAATCCTTTAGCCCGGGGCTCTAAGCAGGAAGGAAGGCGTGACTGAGGTATAGACAGTCTGTAAGGAACAGGGCGGTGCTCCTCGCTTTCAGCACCACTAAAGGAACAGCTCTCAGCAGGGCTGGCCAGCACAGCTCTCTGACCTAAAGCAGACCTAATCGGTTCTCCGACACCCAACGGAGCCCGGGGTCTTGGGGGAATGAGCCTTGGCAAGCTCCTTCTGGAAATATCCCACCTTTGAGAACAGGTTGCTGCCTTCTGAAAGGGAGAAAACTACTGTGCACGGCCTCCGACGGCCTCTGTGAGGGAACACAAGGCCCACACCACAGGGATCCGGGATGCGGTGGGGGTCAGGGAGAGTGCAAGGGTAAGGCCTCTGAGTTAGGTCTTTCACTCCCAAGGCTGGAGAATTAAAAACGAAGCCAAGTCTGAAATGAATTGTGGGAAGGAGTGGGTGGGAGAGTGCTGCTCTAACCACCAGGCTTGCTGCTCTGCACCCCTGTGGCGCTTCTCTGCTGACCAAGCACCTGAAGAACGGAGATGCTACTCTGAGATGTCACTCCATACAGTGCCCCCCCCCCCCCCCGTGGAATGCAATCCAGAAGCCTCTTTGCTGCTGGGCTGCCTTGAACGCACTCAGGGGAATTCTGATGAGATTCCTTCTCTGGCCATGAGCAGGATTCGTTTTTTCCAAGTCTGGGTGGTGCCACGGTGGCTCCGGAACCGAAGCACCCACTCAGACTCTTCTCAGGAACCCTCTTTCCCGTGGTGCTGGGAGAGGAGATTTAAGATGGGAAGGGGTTTCTGGATTTCTTGCTCGGAAATGACCTCTAGGTTTCCAGTCCCTCAGCGTCCTGTGGAGAGTGAAACCTCAGCTTGAGCCATTCTCCCTAAGCCACGTGTGGGAGCCTTCCTTGGATCAGCACGTGTGCCACAGTGCTAAGCCTGGCACAAGCTAAGAGTTCTCTGCCGATGTCCAGGTTCACACAGGCCACCCAACCAGCACACTGACTCCTTGGCCAGCACACCCTCTCCGCCCTTTCCCAGACTTTGGAACTGCTGTAGCCTTAAGGAACAGTGCGTGGATACACAAATCCGGCCATGCCCAGGACGAGGTGTGATGTGAAGGCTTCAGATCTCCCGTGAAACTTTCTTGTCTCCATCAGTGAAGTCAATGTTCCCTCTGATGCCCTCAATCTTAGTTTCTCTGCTTTTGAAATAAGGGATAACCAAGTCCCTCCCTGGAGGAAAGTGGAAATAAACCACTGGTCATGGGGCCAGACAAGTGGCCCTTTTGGGAACAGTCTACCCCGGAAGACACCTAGAAGAAGCCTTTCTGCAACCACCAGCAAAGCTATTTCCCAGAATCTCTCCCGACCCTCTGACTTCTGCTGAGCCCCGAGCAACCATTTCTCATCTGTAAAGCAGGCAATCCCATTTTACAGTTGGGTAAAGTGAGGCCTGAAAGTGAGCTGCCCTACCTCTCTCCACTTCCTCAAATGAGGATCCCTGGTGAGGGACCTCAGTCTTCAGCCCTGACAGTCCCCCACAAGGATCCTGCAGCTTCTGTCTGGCATTTTTGGCTCAGTGGCTTGAAGAGGTTAAATAACCCAGCTAAGGCCACCTAGTGGAAATGTGGAGCTTGGGGACTCTAGCCCACCTATGCCTGGGCATCCAAGAGGGCAGGAGCCAGGCTCTGGAGCCTGCTGGACGAAGGGGTAAAGGGTAAGACCTTGAGGTCCTGGGAAGGGTCTCTCACACGCTGCTATTCCGAGGACACCCTTCCACATGGGGAGCCAAGCAAAGGAGTCCCTTCCAGATCCAGACGCCAGACCACACCCTGCCTGGGGCGGACCTGTCTGCTCTGGAGTCAGGAAAAAATAAAATAAAATAAAATAAAATAAAATAAAATAAAATAAAATAAAATAAAATAAAA